GCTATGCTTGAATAGTTCCTGACCTCCCGATCAAAGGTTTCCAACCAACTACGAACGCCACAAGCGCTATCCCTGTCTGAGCATGATACTGGACAGGGTCAGTAAAGTAACATGATGCTTCATGGAGTAACATGATGAATAACAATCATCCTCTCACTCCTCGACGATGACGAGGCTTCTGCTTCCCACTGTGCGGTTTGGTAGTCGTGGAGTGAACAGTGAATAGATTGGCGGACTCATCTGAAGGAGGAGTTTCCGAATAGTTATTGCTAACTCGTGAAGCACCTCGAGGGGTCCTATCAACATCACTGGGGTACCTGGTCTCCGGCATATCCTCTTCGTCATTATAAACGCCTTCGACGCTCATAACCTTCGGGATGTCTTTCGTCGTGGATGATTCCTCGGGGAGACCATCAGTGTGTAGCTCATGGGTGGCCTGACCGTCGCTGTCTCGAGACCCTTGAATGGCGGCGGTGATATACTCTTCTTCAACTCGTCTCCCATCGAGTTCTTCTCCACTGCTGCTGCACTCAAAGTCGTAGTCGTAGCTCACATCCTTGCCCGACGACGATGCGGCATCCTCGGATACCATGCAGTGGACCTCAGACGACGTGGCGGCGTCTGTCGTTGTCCCGGAGTCGTCCGACTCATAGCTCGGAGTAATCCTCTCGTGTGCATTAAATAGATCGGCGGCGCTTTGGCCTCCCTCATTCAGAACCTTGTAAAATATCAACCAAGTCTTCGTATCGGACAAACAGTGCGCGACGATGATGTGATACCATAATTAGACACACTTCATAGGGTTCATCAGATGCTCGAGGACTATCATCAACTCTTGGACTGTCTGCCCGGAGAGTCTCACCTGATGCTACAAAAACGAGTTTCACGAGCGGTCACAAGTGTCTTACTCGAGCTCTCGACGGAAGGTTCCATTCGGTGGGCGAGTGGCGATGTGAGGTTCTCTGGGGGAAGGCGAGGACGCTTCGTTGCAGAGCAGTCGTTGGCCGAAGCATCACCGACCTTCTTAGGACGTTGGATGCACCAAGAGGCGGCGTGTGACTGAATGGCTCCCATAGAGAACAAGTAAAGCCGAACCGGTGGAGCAGCTGTTCCTTCTTCTGATGTCATCCCCTATGGTCGGACTGTCCGACTCGGACACAACATAATGCATTCGGCGTAGTCCCCTACCGAGAGTGGAACTAATGCCTGTGTTGCGCTTCGGAAGACTCCTAGTGTACTCTTCATTCGCTATGAGGTATACTCATAAGACGTTAAGTCGCCCGGCGGGCAACGCCCGCTCATATCTTGACAGTTTTACATAACGTAAACGGTTTCGTTTCGGTGGTATCGTCTTTCAGTGCGCTCGGATCTGGAACCGCTCACCCGAGGGTTTGTTTCTCCGGAAGAGACAACTGACAACTCTGGCTCATATTATCACTCTAGGCAGGGGCCGTATGAGGATACCGATTCATGAATCTGAATCCATGATTCAACTCACACCTTGATTCGAGAGAACTGATTCAGATTCTTTGCTCAGGAGAAAAAGTCGAGATTTCTGAGTATGAGTACTTGTCTGCCGACCCATTGGTCATAGCGCAATAGTGGATAGGTGAAGCAAAATAGATCAGGAAAGAGTCTATAGTTTGAGTTCAGTTCATTGCGATCATGAGCATCCGAAACGATAACGGTTTCGAGTCAGATATGTTGGCGCGATCGTCATGATGTTACTCACAGAAGATACGTGTATCGCTTCGGTCATGTGAATGACACACAGTGTGTCAAGTGTGTCTGACACACTTGATTTTAATCAGCCGCTGAATCCGATTCCTCATCCCTAATCACGATTCAAGATTCGTCTATACTCAATGGCTGATTCAGCGTTTTTGGCACTGAGTCAGAGTATTTCATCAATTCGAGATTAAATACTCAGAGTTGGGATTTTAACTCGTGATTCGAGATTAATTCTCAGGAGTCGAGATTCTTTTACTCAAACTCAAAGCTGCCCAGATCCAATGTCGCAATCTCGCCTTGAGCATGATCCGGGAACATACTCATTATGTATAAGCTCACATTTCAATACGGGGATTAATCTTGATTCTGTACCGGGGGTCCGGACCCTTGGTACCGAACCCTGATTCTGATTCTCGACCTTGCTTCACGACTGCAGCGCGCACCACGGTAGACCTCCACAGGTCGAGGACCTCAGCTACTTGCGAGCAGGCTCTTAGAATGACCGTACCCGGGAATAGAACCTTAGCTTCGGTCAAGTGAAAACGTATCCTCACCCAGTTGAGCTGTGAGATGATCCAATGTAAGACAGTGCGCGGAGATATAACGTACGTAGTACATACAGGCTTTTAGCACGACCGGGACCGAGAATAGAACCTCAGCTTCGAGCCCGTGGAATCATCTCCTCAACCAGTTCAGCTATGAGGTCGTACGATACAAAACGGTGCATGGAGTTATAGCGCACCATACGGTGTGAATTTCGCTGCGTAATTTACGCATTCCTGAATCCAATTAACTATTCATAAAAAACCATGAATAAACTCCGAGATATTGTCGGGGGAACGGCACCCGACCACGCTATCGATTCTCACAGGAAACTCTATTGGAGTTCAACTCCAGGAGTTGTCGGACTTAAATTTTCACTTAGAATTTCTGAGTTAGAAACCCAGAGTTATTGATTCCGACGTTCGAGTGAACATCTTGAAAGGTTTGAAGTCCGGATGTGTACACGTGCACAGAAGATTTCCCTTCAAAAAGTTTTATCATTCCAGTAGTGTAGCAGGAAATGCTCATGTATTCGAGACAAACTTACCAAGTTGTACGCTCACAGAATGACGTTTTCTCCCTTTCTTGAAATTGTCACTTTCGGTTGTGGGGCGTAGCGACTGTAGTCTTCGTCTTGTCAAAAATGTCTGATTCAAACTCTGATCCCCTGGTTCTCGAAAATACTCAGATTCAATGGAATCACCCGGAAAATCAGCCTCATGAGTAACGCCCATTGAGTGAGAGTATTAATCAGCCAAAAAATCAACTTTTGATTCTCGAATCAACTCAGAGATTCACATATCATCGCGATGATCCTGATTTCTCGCTCCACACTCTGAAGTCCAGAATAAAAAATCAGTGATTCAGGGGTCAATACTCACCCTCTGATTAAATCATTTTTCATTAAATCTGATTAACTCAGATGAAAAAATTTTTTCCATCTGAGTAAATACTCTGATTCACCTGTTGCATGAGGATCCGCATACGTCTCCAGGCTGCGTTCGATGCTAAGTTGATAATAAATCTTGCTGGGCTCTGATTCCTAGTCTAACCTTATCATGTAACCAACTCGAAACGGAACGAAGATCGCGACGTCGCTTGGAATCAATTGTAGTAGCAACCGTCGAGAAGACGTGCTGTTGGTAGGGGTTGTGAATACGGAGTGGAGTCGAGTGGTTGCCCAGAAACTTCTACTCTGATCTTACATCCTTAGATCATGAGCAATAATCGTGGGAAAAACACCCGTGTGAAAGAAAGTAACGTCGGCGACTTGACCACGAAGCTCTACTTCTGATGGTGACCTCAAAATAATTTTCGAGACATAAGGGTATTTAACCTTGACGGCATATCTGTGAAGCGGACTGGTAGTCGGACATACACTTTTGTAGGCCAATCTGATGCCACGACTCGGAGCCGTAGTAACACATGACCCACGAGAAGGAGCTAAGACCGATATGTGTACCACCGGCTTCAAAGAAGTGATCAAACTTATCTTAGATAGAACATGATCACGAACATAGTCGAGAGCAGTCGAAAGCTGATTGTAACTTACAATTTGTAAGCGTAGAGGATACCTCCATTGGGGTTGTCAAGGCGATCACCGTAATAAGCACACATCGACGTCTTACTACAGGCTCCCGAGTTGCAATCACCTTCGGCCAAAAAAGTGATCTTAGCCTTGTAATTGGGATAGTAGTTATTGTTACAGTTGGGACAAATTTTGGTCAGGAAGACTACGAAAAAGTTGATAAGTCGCGGGGAGGTGTTGGCGAAGGTAAGCAGAGTAACGTGATCAGCCCTGAACATAATCTGGTCCACCAGTCTCCTGTCAGTGTTGTAATAGTTCATCGTAACATCAAGGGCTATGTTGTAGGGCTTGAACTGTGGGTCAGTCTTGAGCGCATCGAAAGCATCAAATATCTTGTACCACGTAGCAAGATCAAGCTTGACTTGGAAGCTGATACCGAGACTACCCATATCAGGGTTGCCGTACTTGAGGATGAACTCCTTAAAGACACGAACGAAATCGGGGGCCCATTTCTTATCGTCGCCACCACCTTGAGCATAGAAAAGATAGAACCTTGCAGAGTTTCCGCTGACCTTGCGGAAGTTGGCGATGAGCTCGGCCAGTCTCTCAGGGTGGATAATCTTGCCCACGTTGGAGGCATCGGCCACGTTGAGGTAAACATCACCACGGTTGTACTCCTTCGACTCACGTCGGACTTGAAAAAGTCTAGGAAGGTCGTATCCTGACCAGTCCAGTAGGCTTGCCTCCAAGAATAGGTTGCCATATTCTTCGTCTCCGAAGATGGAGGACAGCCGAGTCGACCCGCTTCACTGAAGTAAGCAGCGATGCTGACAATGACGAGGAGGAGAATGTAACGCATCGAGTACAATCAACTCTAACGAACGGGAATCTCAGGGAGAGACATGTCGAAACCGCCGCCACTCTCGAGGAACAATCTCAAAGATTTCACGCATGCTTGCGTCACGCAGAGAACTCTGCATTTGAGACGTGGAGCCTAACATGTCCCGATCCAACCGGAGGCTATATTGGATTAGTTTGAACTCAATCCATTCAGATTTCACTCATCGTGCGAGACAAACCTTCGCAACTACCCCTTGTTGTCAGCTGACAGGGCTACAGTGAGTCTATCATGAGACCCTCAGTGGAACATGACACCGGTACAGCGGGGCTGATCCGCATAGCGGTCACCTATCGCAAGATGTGGCACGCTGAACTCCACGTGTTTGCTGTGGTGGTGCTATACACACGTGATAGCGTGACGCCACGGATGAAGTCGAAAAACTGCGAGACCTCATCCGATCGCGAGTTCTTGCTGAATGCAAAGCGAGCCTGATGATCAAGCAGCCATTTACACACAGTGTATGCGTGACAGAGGAGCACTAAGATAAGAGTCTTTGAAATTCGATAAGGTGCTGAATCCTCTGTCTGTCTGAATCCCAGTGGGCTCATCCTCGTCGCTCTTTTGGCATCGTCCAGAAGTGCACAGTTCTCCATCAGATGAAGTGTACTGTCCTCCGGATTCTCGCACGAAGAACTGGAGAATGGCCTTAGCGCGGCGTCGGTGATTGTCCGGTCAGCGGCGGCATGAGCCGCTCATGGTCCGAGATATCGCCCCGCTCACCACGGGCGCGGTGACAACTCGAATATCTCGAAATTCGGAGTTTCTAAGAAGTTACCGAATCGGAAAGT